ACACATCTTTATAAACATCTGCATGTTTCTGTGTGCAGGTGAACTATGCAGTAGCAGCTCTGGCTAAAGCCACATATGACCGAATGTTTAAGTGGTTGGTGAGTCGTATCAACTCGTCCTTGTACACCGCGCTGCCTCGCCAGTACTTCATTGGAGTCCTCGACATCGCCGGCTTTGAGATCTTCGAGGTAGGAAAGACAGTATCTGATAATTATTTTCAAACTCTACTGTCTGCTGAACTGAGCTGACCAATGGGTAAATGGTTCAATTATCTGTCAGCCAATTAGAAACATTTTGTCTGATGTATTTAATCACTGTGGATGGAGCTAAGCTAGAGGTCGCCATCCGCCTCCAGTCTCTGTGTGCAACAACACTAAACATGTCGAGACCTTTCATGTGATTAATGCACAAAAATGCATTAATTACAGACCTTAATTATTTGTGATTAACTAGTAAGTGCTGAATTGTAGCATTAGCGTTGGTTAGCTGTTGATATGTCATTTCCCACAAACTTATGTTAGCTTCGGTTGTGTTCGTGATTTTTAACTCTTAACCTTTGTTACTAACAAGAGTATTTATGTTAAACTTTGATAATGGCTAACGTCGGTTAGCTTACCATTAAACTATTTAAATGTATTAACAGCTAGCTCCTGTTGACTTAACACGATTTTACAGGTTAGAGTTTAACTTTTGTGATTCTCTCAGGGTTGTTGGCCTGGGTACAGAAAGGGAAATATTTTATAAATTTTATTTTATTTTAAAACATGTTTGACTTTTCTGATGACCGGAGATATCTGCATTTATAACAAATCTTAAAGTTGTCTACAACCCTGCCTGCTTGGGGCTGAACTGAAAACATGTATTTATCTGTGTCTGCAGTTCAATAACTTCGAGCAACTCTGTATCAACTACACCAATGAGAAGCTGCAGCAGTACTTCAACCACCACATGTTCATCCTGGAGCAGGAGGAGTACAAGACTGAGGGGATCGAGTGGACCTTCATAGACTTCGGTTTGGACCTGCAGGCCTGCATAGACCTCATAGAGAGGGTGAGTTTGGTAGTTATCACTATTTGTAAACTGAAATATTTTCTTAAAGTCACAATGTGGCCAGGTGTGTCGGAGGACGGGATCTCATCAGTGTTTCATGACGGTAGAGATCATTAAAACATGATAACTTAAATTTTATTGTTATCCTTTGGGCTAGTTAAAGCGTTGAATATGGGACTTTATTTTCCAGCCCATGGGTATTTTGTCCATCTTGGAGGAGGAGTGTATGTTCCCCAAGTCCACCGACACCAGCTTTAAAACCAAACTCTACGACAACCACCTGGGGAAGTCGCCAAACTTCCAGCGGCCACGACCGGACAAGAAGCGCAAATATGAGACGCACTTTGAAGTGGTCCACTATGCAGGAGTGGTGAGTATCAGAGATCCGTCTTTACTTTCAAAATTTGACTTTTTTATTAACCTTTAACCAATCACCTTCACAAGGCTTCTACACATTGTGCCCGAAACGGTGTTATCATGACATAATCAGGACGGAATTGTGACGTCTACTCCAAATTGGTGTATTGAGTACTTTAAGAAGGGACAAATATGTATTACAAATTATTTTATTCCTGCTTCCAAACTGGGGATGCTAATTGTAAATTAAAAGGAAAACTAAGCAAGGACTTTGCTTGGGTTGATATCCTTTCTGGTTGGAACAAGCAAATTTCGAGGTCAAAACCATAGACCAACAACAAAATTGGGGCTAGCGAAAATGCTTAGTTGCTAGTAACTTTGGAAAACCACAAGCCACAGTATCTGGTGAGAAATCTCAGTGAGTTTGAGATTAAATCTTTGTGTCATCTGCATAACAAGTGAGCATGTTTAGTCAGAGGGAAAGTGTACTGTAGATATTAAAATAGAGAAGCCTAAGAACGGAGCCCTGGGGAACTCCACATTGTGTTTATTTGCTGAGGTGTATGCAGCTTGACACCAAGGAGACCTAAATATAGGATAGTCTTTAAAAAGAAGAACTTTGATCATTTATTGAGTTTAATCTATGAGGTCCAAGGTTTCTATTCAAAGATCTTCTATATACGTATCTCTCTCTCTCTCTCTCTAGGTGCCGTACAACATCACCGGCTGGCTGGACAAGAACAGAGATCCTCTGAATGAGACGGTGGTGGTTCTGTTCCAGAAATCCTCCAACAAGCTAATGGCTGGACTGTTTGAGAACTACATCAGCTCCGAGTCGGGTAACTACACAAACAACCGCTGTTTCAAAATAAAAAGTACAAGAGATACTGTGTGTTTGTGTGTGAAGTATTTTTTGTGCCGTGTTTAAGAAGGCGACCCAAAGGCCGAGAAAAAACACAGAAAGAGGAAAGGAGCTTCTTTCCAGACAGTTTCACAGTTACACAAGGTGAGCTCTTTGTGCCTTATGTATATCCTTATACACACAATAACGTGATCAAAGGAGCACTGAAAAGGGAAAAATAGATATATGGATTGATAAAGTTTACGTTTTGGTGCTTGCAGCAATCTTAGTCATGTACAAAAAAAAGGGAGGCGGGGGGTCTTAAGGGTTATTTTAAAAGGCGGACACCACCTCAACAAAGTGACATTGAGCTGAAATGTCTCTTACCCATTCTTCTGTTTGAATACAGGAGAATCTGAACAAGCTGATGGCTAACCTCCGCAGCACTCAGCCTCACTTTGTGCGCTGCATCATCCCCAATGAGAGCAAGAATCCGGGTAAAAAAAAACACAAACACAGGCAGTCTGCAGCCAGATGTAGGTGCAATGTTCATCACACAAATAGACTGCATATAAGAAGTGGACACAGCACATCCCCAGAATACCATTCTTGTTTTTGTGGAGCCAGAAGTGACTATAAATATGTAAAGTAGTCCTTATTGGACAGCATGGTTTGTGTCTCAGGTAGCCCCGCCCTAAATCCTCACCTGCTTTCTGGTCTCTTTGACTCTAAAGCCCCGTTTCCGCCTAGCAGCCTGTGTGGTTCTGACCCTGTAGAGTCGTTATATAAAGGGCTCAGATATAAACTGATTGGATGTATTTATGTTTGCCAACCTGATCACTAATGAAGAAAACTGTAGCTTCTATATCAACATTACCAATGCAAAGTGAACCTTACCTGTCGTCACTGTGTTGCATGAAGTATAAGGTCAGAAGATGACATCTCTTTGTCCTTCCCAGGATTTATGGATCCCTTCCTGGTTCTCCACCAGTTGAGGTGTAATGGGGTCCTGGAGGGGATCAGGATTTGCAGGAAGGGCTTTCCAAACCGAATCCTGTACGCAGAGTTCAAACAACGGTCAGTCCTGAACTCAGAAACAAATGATTCAGGAGTTTTACTAATCCAGTGAGAGATTTGGATAAAATACTTTCTTGTCCTCTTTTTTTACTCAGTTATCGGATCCTGAATCCCAACGCGATTCCAGAGGACTCGTTTGTGGACAGCAAGAAGGCTGTAGAGAAGCTGCTGGGCTCTCTGGACATCGACAACACCCAGTACAAGTTCGGACACTCTAAGGTGATAGATAGAGGATGCTGTGTGTTGTAAAGATTTGTTTTTTATGACGGCAGATTAAAAATTCTAAGATCTTCTTCCTGTCAGGTGTTTTTTAAAGCCGGTCTGTTGGGTCTGTTGGAGGACATGAGGGACGCCCGTCTGGCTCAGATCCTCACCATCGTTCAGGCCATGTCCAGAGGGAAGCTGATGAGAATGGAACTACAGAAGATGATGCTGCAAAGGTCAATGTGACGATCAACCTCAGAACAAATAAACTGCTTTAGCATTAGCATTAGCATCAGATAATCTATCGAGTGTGCGTGATCAAACATGGTCTTGTGGTTTCTTCCTCTCAGAGATGCCGTCATGGTGATCCAGTTTAACCTCAGGGCATTCTTCTCTGTGAGGACTTGGCCGTGGATGATGCTGTTCTACAAGCTCCGCCCCCTGCTCAGGAGCGCCCAAGTGGAGAAAGAGCTAGCTGCCCTCCATGAAGAGTTCAAAAAATTAAAAGAGGCTTTTGACAGGTTGGATTCTCCTTCTACCTGACCGTGTGTTTGCACAGAATCAATCAGACATTTAATGGTTTAGACTTTGATTTCAGCATCCTGCTGCTCAGGTCTGTGTCTTCACTCCAAAACTTTGGTTTGTTGTTTCTCCGTCAGGTCAGAGGTAAAGCGCCTGGAGGCCGAGGAGAGACAGGTGGTTTTGGTTCAGGAGAAAAACGATCTGACTCTGCAGGTCCAAGCTGTAAGTCAGGTGTAAGGCGGTGTATGAATGGTATTAGTTACTTCTGGATTCTGTATGACACTACATAGTGACCACTACCATCAGTGTGTGAAAGGGTGTGAATGGGTGGGTGTGACGTGGTGTAAAAGCCATTTACCATTTATATTTTCTTAAAGTCCTTTTGAACCCATTTACACCGATTTTCACTGTGGGTCTTTTGTTGGCTCTTATCTGTACATTTACAAAAAGCAAGTTGCTAAGGGAAGCCAGACGGTTTTTGATGGGGGTCTGGCCTCATTGGAAAAACTTTGGCTTTAGCTGTAGGACAGTTTGATTGGTTTATATGATCTAAAGCTTATCTCCTGTAAACTAATATGTTTGTTAAGTAATTCAGATTGTTTAAATCTCTCTTTTTGTCCATGTTTTCCATCTAGGAGCAGGACAACCTGACGGACGCAGAGGACCGCTGTAACCAGCTGATTCAGTCCAAAATCTCTCTGGAGTCAAAGTTGAAGGAGATGCAGGAACGTCTGGAGGACGAGGAGGAGGTGAGCACCAAACTGACGTCGAAGAAACGTCAGCTGGAGGACGAGGTGGTTGCTCTAAAGAAAGACGTGGACGACCTGGAGATGACCCTGGCTAAGGTTGAGAAAGAAAGACACGGAGTGGAGAACAAGGTGGGCTCACTTCCTGTCCCATGCTGTCTTGATGTTGGTCAGAGCTTTACTTTAATGATGGGTTGAGCTGATGAGGTCATACATTTTATTCTTTCCATTCAGGTAAAGAACTTGTCTCAGGAGATGTGTGTTCTGGATGAATCTATTGCCTCCCTTACCAGAGAGAAAGGTGCGCTGCAGGAAGCTCATCAGCAGGCGCTGAACGATCTTCAGGCTCAGGTCGACAAAGTCAATATGCTGGCCAAGGCCAAGACTCGGCTGGAGCAGCACGTGGACAACGTAAGACTGGAAGGACTGTCTTTGAGTTTAGCATGTCTGCCTGTCTGTCTAAGTCCTTCTTGTTGAATATCATAAATGCAGTTTGTTAAGAAGGTGTTTCAGGGCTCCTCGTCATTTTCCTCGATTTCACAAAGACTACTCGATGATAAACAGCCTAACCTAAAATTTATCTTAAGTCCAACTAAAACCCCAAAAGGACTACTAAAACTTCCTTCAAGAAAAGTAGAACCATGAACCAGCTCAAGAGCTGTAGCCAATCAGCATGAACCGACTGAACCTCTTTAAGGATCCCTACTGACCTACAACTAACTAGATCTAGAACCTTCTCAGACACCACTGAAATAAAAGGACCAGTAGAACCCTTTAGGACTCACAGACCTGTGTCACTGAACATAAAGTCCAGCTACCTCAAAGGACCACTTAAGTTTCCAAGGAAACATCGAAAGTGTCTTCAGTGACCAGAGAATCATCTCAAGGGTCTCTGCAGGACACATCTGAGAGTTTGCTTTCACACAAAACTCCTAAAACCTCCAGAAGTTTTTGGGTGAGCTGCAAGTGTGAACGCAAACAGTCAAATTTTTTCTTTATCTGTTTTATCGCCTGGCAGCCCTAATCCTGGTTTTGAGTATGACAACACTGCCTACTACAAAGACAATCCACAGAAAAGGAAAACAAGAAAAACCCAAAGGAGATCAAAAATCAAAAACCAGACTTTTGTTATCCAATATGAGTATTAAAACCTCCTGAAAAACCATAACAGCACCCTAAAGAACTTTCAATCCCCTCTAATGGCCATCAGGAGGTCCTTCAGGATTTAAAAGTACTCAGAATACTCAAATAAGATAAATTGAGGTAAAACCCAACACAAAGTGTTGTGCTAAACCATGATGTTTGCATGCCCCTGTCTCATGAGGTTGGCTCCTCACAGTCTCCCTCCTTTCCTCCCTGCAGGTGGAGAGTTCGTTGGGTCAGGAGAAGAAGATGCGGGTGGAACTGGAACGAGTCAAACGGAAGCTGGAGGGAGACCTGAAGCTGTCCGTGGATTCAGTGAAGGATCTGGAGAACCAAAAGGACGGGCTGGAGGAGAGACTGAAGAAGTAAGAAAAAGTGAAACTTTAAAGATACACAGTTAGTTTCAGCGTTAAACTGCTATTACTTGTCAAGGTTCGAGAAAAACTAAGAGGAGGACCCAGATGCAGATCTAACAAAAATGATTTATTCAAAATAAAGATCAAAAGTCCACAACAAAACTTACTATCAAAATCCAACATGAAAAAACAAGGAGCCACGAGAAGCACAAAGAGACACTAGTAAACTGAGAACTGACAAACGACAATGAACTGACACAGAAGGGAAGAAACACAGAGACTAAATAGACACAGGGGTAATCAAACACAGGTGAGACTAATGACACAGGTGAAGACAATGAGGGCAATCAACACGGAGGGAAACACACAGAGGCAGGATAAAACACAAGACAAGAAACACTGAGGACAACTACAAAATAAATACATGAAACACTGAAGACACTGTAGAATGAAAAATTAAGAAACACTAGAACAGAGGGAAACACCAGGGAAGAATGAGACCTAAAAGATAAAAACCATCTAAACTGTGAAAAACAAAACTAAACAGAACAAATCATGACAATTACTAATCACAAGTCATTTTAAGTGATAAATAATCAAATATTTCTGTTTCCTGTCTCTCCTCATACCACTCCAAAGGAAAGACTTTGAGCTGGGTCAGATCCAGTCCAAAATGGAGGACGAGCAGAGTGTGAACGCTCACCTCCAGAAGAAGATGAAGGAGCTCCAGGTTGGCCGATCTCAGAATCAAACCTGTCTTTTCTCAAAGATATTCTCCATCAGTGCTGCAGCTAAAGGGTGGTGTTGTGTTCGCTCCCTCAGACTCGTATCGAGGAGCTGGAGGAGGCGCTGGAGGCGGAGAGGGCATGGCGAACCAAAGCTGAACGTCAGAGGAACGACATCGCCCGCGAGCTGGAGGACCTTGGAGAGAAACTGGAGGAGGCCGGAGGAGCCTCTGCTGCTCAGATCGCCCTCAACAGGTCATCATCGGCATTACAGCGGCATTTATTCACCCTCAGGCATCAGTTTAATTTACTACCCTCTTAAGTCACTAAGGACAAAAATGTCCATGCCAAAAAACTGATATAAAAATAGAACAGATTGTTTTTTTTCTACTTTTTTTGCATAAATCTCTTAAACAACTTCAGCCCTGCTCAAAACTACCAAATATTCAATCATTTTTAGGAATTTAACCCTTTAAATGCCAGTTTGATTATATGATTCTGGCACTTAAGGGGTAAAATTCCTGATAATTATCACAGCAGTGGTTCAAACTGATCAAATTTAGCAACGACATGAGGAAACCTTTTCTTTGATTTAACGGGAAGGAGCTCTCAGGAGTGTTAAAAAACTTGAGAGAGGTGCTCTGAAGCTTGGGATTAATGCAGTCTATGACTTTTCAGCATCAATGTTTAATTAATAAAACACCTGTCCATGTGACTCCATGTCAAACAGGAAGAGGGAGGCAGACTTCATGAAGCTACGTCGAGAGCTGGACGAGGCGGGGCTTCACCACGAGACGACGGCCGCCACTCTCAGGAAGAAGCACTCGGACACGGTGACAGAGCTGAGCGAGCAGATCGACGCTCTGCAGAGAGCCAAGCAGAAACTGGAGAAGGAGAAGGCCGAGTTCAGACTGGAGGCCGAAGATCTGGTTACCAACATGGAGCAGCTGTCCCGGACCAAGGTAAAAACGCCCCCACTTAAAGGGTCAAAATAAAGGACCACTCCAGGACTGTAAAGGTCAACACAGGCTTTACCTCCACTTTTTGTGACATCTTTCCTCCTCGTCTTGAAGCAAAGCAACCGCGAGAGCTCCACATCAATCAATTTTTCCCACTTTTTTTATTTTGTCCTCCGCATGCACACACAGCCTGTGTGACCCTGGACCCCGATGAGTTCATCAGTCAATGTGGCTTCTCATTGGATGATAAATGATCTTTCTTTCTGTGTTTGCAGGGAACAGTGGAGAAGATGTGCAGGGTTTATGAGGACCAGCTGAATGAAAGCCGTAGTAAAGCCGAGGAGCTGCAGAGACAGCTGACTGAAGTTTCTGCTCAGAAGGCTCGAGCAGTCACAGAGACAGGTACAACACACGCCTGCTCACAGGAACATTTAAAGAGTCTGTCATGGCTGCAAGTCCTTCTTCGATTGGATAGCTTAAAGTCCTCCACTCAGTTTCAGCAGATCAGGGGAGTGGCAGGTCTACCTCTGCACGGATCAGTTGGTTTGTGTTACAGCTGTTCTTAATTCTGCAGAGATCCTTTATGTCGTATTCTCAGAACAATCTGAACCTGTCAGTGGCAAAAACAAGAACTTTGAATCATCATAATAGATCTACTTTTTTTTAACCTTTCAGTTACATAGCGGTATATTTTAAAGGTTAATAACACACTCTTACCTTCTTATAAACATGAACATCCAGCACCTTCTCTGTGATCTTCCTCTAGCTGAGTACAGCCGTCGTCTGGAGGAGCGCGACGCTATGATTAGCCAGCTCCAGCGCTCCAAGGCGGGGATTTCCCAAAACTTTGAGGACCTGAAGAGGCAGCTGGAGGAGGAGAGCAAAGTAAGATAGGAGGCGATTCTGATCCTCCTGCTCGTCCTGAATGTGGTTCCTTCATGTGGGGCCACATTTATGTCGATCTTAATAAATAACGATGTATCGCTCTCTGATGAAGGCGTGTGAACTGGAACATGTTGCTGTTTTCTGAGAGGTAAGGAGCATTAGTTAATAAATATGTCTGTGTCAGGCTCGTGTGTCGCTGGCTCATGCGGTCCAGTCGTCCCGTCATGAATGCGGTCTGCTGAAAGAGCAGCTGGAGGAGGAGCAGGAGGCCAAGGCCGAACTGCAGAGGGCGCTGTCTAACGCCAACAGCCAGGTGGTTCAGTGGAGAGCCAAGTACGAGACGGACGCGGTGCTGAGGATCGAGGAGCTGGAGGAAGCAAAGTAAGACCATCTGAAATACTACGTTAACTACATGAACAAATGTGTCATCGTTCAAGTCCTGCAGATGATGAACCTTCATATTTAATTATTATTATTATTTTTTGATTATTTTATTTGTACATTTTATTTAATTCAAACAAACAATAACATTAAAAAAAAACAAAAAACATAAAATCTCAAATTTTGAATGAAAAGGAGCAGAAAGAAGACTGATCTTATAATATCTGCCCCTCTTTCATAAAGCATAAATTAAAACAAAACAGAACACTTAATTCAAAAACAATGAAATTATTCAGCTGGACCATCAAAGTATTTTATTTAACACACGCTCATGTCAACCAACATTTGAAAGAGCTCAATAACTGAGCAGATTCATATTTCCCTGAGGTTCACCCTTTGGATTTACTTTCCTCTAACTTTTTTTGAATCGTATTCTGGCGAATACATCAGATGAACCTGATATTTTTTATGATATGAGCTGAATCATCTTTTGGTGCTTGACCTTTGTTATTTTTCCAGTCGTACAAAGAAGTAAGTGAGTTGGGTTTTATTGTGGCTTGTGTTTGTAGGAAGAAGTTGGTCGTCAAGATGCAGACTGTTGAGGAAGCCGCGGAGACGTCACAGGCCAGATGTTCCTCTCTGGAGAAAACCAAACTGGGCCTGCAAACAGAGATGGAGGACCTGGTGGTGGAACTGGAGCGATCCAACGCCGCTGCTCTGGCTCTGGACAAGAAGCAACGCAACTTTGACAAGGTCGATCAGAAACAGCTGCCACATGCACCGACAAAGAAATGTACTCATTCCATGCAGATGTTGAGGAAAGATGTTTGAGTGTTGGGCTTGTGCTTTGGTTTGATGCAGTTGTTGGGTGACTGGAAGCTGACGTTTGAAGAGAGTCAGACGGACCTGGAGGTGTCGCAGAAAGAGTCGCGCAGTCTGAGCACCGAGCTCTTCAAACTGAAGAACTGCTATGAAGAAGCTCTGGACCATCTGGAGACAGTCAAGCGGGAAAACAAGAACCTGCAAGGTAACCCCTCCCTCTCTCTCTCCCCATCTCTCCATGTTACTGTGAGAAGGCTCATTACTAATGGTTTGTATCTGTTTTGCAAGAGAAGAACATTTATTTTGCCATCAAAGGCAAAAGCTAGAAACTAGCTCACGTCAGGGTTCGTTAGTGGATACTTGAAACAGAAACTCTAGAGGTGAGAGAGAGGTTGAAGTTTATTGAAATTGATCGTTCACTACTTAACTTCACCTTGGGTGTCATCATTGGCTCATCTGATGCATTCAAGAAGACTTAACTGAAGACACAAGCTGCGGCAATGATTGGTAAATGATAAATGGACTTGAGCTTATATAGCGCTTTTCTAGTCTTCCAACTACTCAAAGCGCTTTTACACTGCATGTCACACCTACACATTCACACCTTGATGGTAGTGATAGCTATGTAGTATCATCCATCAGAAGTAACTAATCTAATTTTAGGGATGTATGAAATTCTTCTACCAGGCAAGAATGTGAGAAACTCATTGAAGTACAGAAGATATATATCACATATCATATTGCATCGTGAGTTAACCTACAATTCCCACATCTACTGTACACCAGAGTTTAGAATAACTACATCAGGTCTGTGTTGCTTTGCTTTTGATTTTGCGATGTTGATTTTGAGATCCATTTGCCAAACTCTTCCAGATGAGATTCTGGATCTGACTGATCAGATCAGTCTTGGAGGGAAAACCATCTATGAGCTGGAGAGAACGAGGAAGATCCTGGATGTGGAGAAGAGCGACATCCGAACAGCTCTGGAGGAAGCAGAGGTAACTGACTTACCTGCTGTGGATACCTGTCCAATCTCTACTCACTCACTTATGAAACCTGCCATCTGTTCACCTGTCAGGGTACTCTGGAGCACGAGGAGAGTAAGACTCTGAGATTTCAGATGGAGTCACAGCAGATGAGGACTGAGATCGAGCGCAAGATCACAGAAAAAGATGAAGAAATTGACAACCTCAGGTATTCCCTATTCTAGATAACAAACTCAAGTTCAATGTCAATGAACAACAGTTGCTAAAGCACTTACCAATCAAAGACCGGACAATTGGAGTTACCAAGAGGCCAAACCTGAATAAAGTATGCAATAAAAAAGAGAGGATGTGTTCTAGTAGTAATACCAGTGCTGTCCACTAGGCGGAGCCACCAGAGATCTCTGGAGACCACGCAGGCCAGTTTGGAGGCGGAGGTTCGTAGCCGCAGTGAGGCGGTTCGTCTGAGGAAGAAGATGGAGTCTGACCTGAACGAGA